CACGACGAGGGTTTTTACTCGATTGAACAAAGGGTTTCTCGGTTTAATGGGCTGATTAAAACGTAGGCCCATTAAGGAATCTGTAGGCCCATTTATCTTTTCACCGACCCAACACACGCGTCGCCCTCTCGTTTTGGTTCGTCGTCTCTAACCCTATTACTCATTCCGTGTATAAACGAAACGAAACTCAAAATCGAAAAACTTGAGAGCTCCTCCATTGAAGCAACTTCCAAAGAGAGCTTTTAGTGATTCGAATCAGTTGTAGAAGCGAGCATCTTCTTCAGTTTCTGAGGTTCGTATTCTTTCCTCGTTTTCTACGAATTGGGAATCAAACTAGGGTTTTGCAGTAGCTTGTTTTTTTATTAGGTTTCTGATTTATTTGGGTTATGATTAGGGCTTTGTTTTTCCTGTAAGATAACTCCGTATCAAGCTTTCTGAAGAAGATATAGCGACTATTTCCGTAGACTGATGTTTCGAATTGAACACTTCTTCTTAATTTGTATGGTTTCGGTTTGTATATTACGCATCTTAGTTTCTACGCTTAATTGAAATCTATCGATGAGTGTAATATCAGTCTTGTATGTGCTTTCCACTGATTCCATTCTTATGTGAACGTAGTTTTCTGCAGTTTGGGTTTAGAAGTCTGTTCTAGAAAGTTATGGGAGACAGCGAAGCCATGGTTGCCGAGGGCTATACTTCTGTTCCATATGGAGATTATAATGCTTCTGCTGCTACAGTGGAATCAACAGGCCAAGAAAACGCAAACCAGAGCAATGCACCAAATGTTGAGTCGTCTCAATCGGTCAATAATGCTTCTTTGGTGAATGGGACTGGCCATGAAGGTGGTTTATCTGCGCCAGTTGAGAACGGAAATGCAACTGATAATGTGGCTGTAGCAGCTCCAGCAACAGAGCATGGAGACCAGCCTGGTAATCCCTTCTTCTTCTTTCTCGATATAAGAAAATTAATTCTTTCTCGATAGAGACATCATTACAGGCTCTTTTTTCACAGGCTCTATTCTTTCACCAGAAGAGGAGCGCCTGTGGAATATTGTAAGGGCTAATTCTGTTGAGTTCAATGCTTGGACTGCCCTGATTGAAGAGACAGAGAGGATAGCTCAGGTATGTGTCAGTTTTTATAATGAAACTTCTCTTTCCCTGTGTACTCTATTCTGACCTCTGAAATATTCTGTGTGGAGGCTCCAATGTTTGACATCTTGATCATGTTTTATTATTGACGAAAGAGTATTATGGTTTTATTTGTACGCCATAAGTCACTGTCATCTTTCTCTATCAGGTACTATATTCATTTTTTCTCAAGATTGGAAATGTTTTCCTTGCTGCCCTAATTACAGGACAATATAGCAAAGATCCGGAAGGTGTATGATGCTTTCCTAGCGGAATTCCCTTTGTGTTATGGTTATTGGAAAAAGTATGCGGATCATGAGGCTCGTGTGGGGGCAATGGACAAAGTCGTGGAGGTTTATGAAAGAGCAGTGCAGGGAGTGACATATTCAGTGGACATTTGGTTGAATTATTGCGTTTTTGCCATCAATACATATGGAGATCCTGACACGATTAGAAGGTAATCAAATCTATATTCATCTATTTGTTTGTGTTTAAAGAGCCTAGATTACTTTCAATTACCTAGACAAAATGATTTTTACGATCTAACCCTTTTCTTAGATTGCTACAGCAACTCCTCTCATTTGTGGTGGAAAGATCTGATGTAATTATTTAGAAATACTTCTTTTTTTATACACTAGCTTTCGGGCCTCCTTCCATAGCTATCTGATATCTTTATTTGAAACTGCTCCATTTTGTGGTGTTCTATACATCTCTGGTTTGAATTTTTTTAAACTTAAAATATACCTTTTTTTAAATGTCACCCTCCCCTCGAAGTGCATCCATATGCAAAATGCTGCTGGGAAGATGTCAACCAGTTTTGGGCTTAGGTAGCCTCTGACTGCTCGATTTTGGCCATGGTATATGCTTTTACCAGGAAGGTAAATGCAGTGTTTGGCAGTATCATGCATTCAAAGAGTGAATCCTTTTTCCCCATAGAACTCGTGTATGTTTTTATTGATTGGACATGTCTGCGTCTTTCAGCTCATATGACATTCTTTTTACTCTAATGCTGCTGCAGGCTTTTTGAACGAGCTTTGGTTTACGTTGGAACTGATTTTCTGTCCTCTACATTGTGGGACAAATACATTGAGTATGAGTACATGCAGCAGGACTGGAGCCGACTTGCCATGATTTACACCAGAATACTGGAGAATCCAATTCAAAATTTCGATAGATATTTCAGCAGGTAACTTCAAGTGACTTCATTTTCATGTGGATTGTGATTTTTATGGTGAGGACTCATTATGTTTGTGCACTATGTTGATTTAGCACTTAATCGAGTTCAGCTATCTGGCAGATGAGCTGTTGTCGTACATTTGATTAGGCAAACTCAAGTGCCAAATCTAGTTTTTATAACTCATCTGTTTTTCCTCCTGACTTCCCTGTTCTTTCCTGAAGATGTAGTATTAGCGAGGGTTCTTTGGATATGCTCAGAATCTTTAGTGTCTTTCTATTGTGTATGTTGCCTCTTTTGTTCTGGTATTTTTCTGCTGTTGATAAGTGCTACTCTTGTTATAGTTTCAAGGAACTTGCTGAAACACGGCCTCTGTCAGAACTAAGGAGTGCTGAGGAATCTGCAGCAGCTGCTGCAGATGCTTCTGAAAGTGCACCATCTGAGTCTTCCGGAAAGGCAGATGAAGGAAAATCTCAAGCTGATGGTTCCACCGATCAGTCTCCTAAATTGGAAAGTGCTGGTTCAACTGATCCTGAGGAGTTGAAGAAATACATTGGCGTCAGAGAAGCCATGTATATAAAAGCTAAAGAGTTTGAATCTAAAATCATTGGTTTTGAAATAGCTATAAGGAGGCCCTATTTCCATGTGCGCCCTCTCAATGTTGCAGAGCTGGAGAACTGGCACAGCTATCTGGATTTCGTAGAGAAAGATGGAGACTTCAATAAGGTAATGGGGTGCTTAACTCTCTTATATGTGGACATACACGTGTTTTGTAGATTAAGTCGTACCTTTGTAATATGATTGGCTTACAGTTAAGTAGTATCTGGTGCATCATATGCTTTATTGGGTTTCCATTGGATCAAGCAACTTTTAAATGGGAAAATAACTGAGACCAAAGCATGGCCTCATTTTGGTAACTTTAAGGCTAAGTACTTCAAACTCTCAATTTCTCAATGGATATTTTAGGTTCGTGACTTATCCTTGTTAAAGTTCCAATGTTATTAATGCAGGTGTCTTCTTGTCTTCCTAACAATCTGTCTGTCAGGCAAGGAGGGTCCCTCTGTATGTGAGGGTCCCTCTGTTCGACTTATAGAGTATTTCTTGTGGATTTCTCCTTTGTGCTTTCTATGTTTACTCGTTTTTTTTGCTTTACTTTTTTTCCTTAGTGATCATCATATATGCTTTACATTTTATTCTCTTTTCCTGTAGGTGGTCAAGCTGTATGAAAGGTGTGTGGTTGCGTGTGCAAATTATCCTGAATACTGGATTCGATATGTGTTAAGCATGGAAGCAAGTGGAAGTATGGACCTTGCAGACAATGCCCTTGCTCGAGCAACTCAAGTCTTTGTCAAGGTATGAAATCTGTTTCGCCCTTTTTTGGTAGTTTAATCTCATTACTTACGATTGACTTTGTAGAATAATATTTAAGTAGTCTGCTTTGCAACTCCTGGTTACTTATTTGCTTTTTTCTCTTTGGCAGAGACAACCGGAGATCCACCTTTTTGCGGCTCGATTAAAAGAGCAGAGTGGAGATATAGCGGGTGCTAGAGCTGCATACCAATTAGTGCATTCTCAAATTTCCCCGGGACTTCTTGAAGCTGTAATCAAACATGCGAACATGGAACATCGACTTGTAAGATTTCATGAGCTAGTAATTGAAGAACTAGTATAGACTATTACCACTGTTCTTTTCCTTAACTCGCTCCTAATCTTACTGTAGGGGAATCTGGATGATGCTTACTCTTTGTACGATCAGTTGATTGCCCTTGAAAAGGCGAAAGAAAACTCAACAGTACTGCCTCTCCTGTATGTTCAGTATTCAAGGTTTTTGTACTTGGTATGTCGCATGATTTACTGAGACTTTGTACAACCGAGTTCTGACTTGTATTGTTTAGTTTTCTTAAAGCAGTATGTGGTGGTTTGGCTTCTTACTTTGTTCAGTATTTGATTCAGGTTTCTGGGGATGCTGAGAAAGCTAGGAAGATTCTCGTCGAAGCGCTAGACCACATACAACTTTCAAAACCTCTCATGGAGGCACTGATTCATTTTGAGACGATTCAGCCACCACCAAGAAAGATTGATTACCTTGAACCACTTGTCGAAAAGGTTATAAAGCCAAATGCAGATACCCAGAACATCTCAAGTTCCACTGAGAGAGAAGAGCTATCCTTGATATATATAGAGGTAACGGAAAAAAAGAAACAACCTTTTCTCTTTAAACTTTAGTCTATTAACATTGTGTATCTATATTATTGATTATACTCCCAAATGTGCATATCCTCTGCAGTTCTTGGGTTACTTTGGTGATGTGAAGTCCATTAGAAAAGCGGAAAATCAACATGCTAAACTCTTTTTACCTCATCGGAGCACATCAGAACTGAGAAAGCGTAGTGCAGATGATTTTCTCTCATCAGATAGAACGAAAATGGCGAAAACCTACAGCGGCACTCAACCTGCTCAGCCAGTATCTAATGCATATCCAAATGCTCAGGCTCAATGGTCTGGTGGCTACGCTGCACAGCCTCAGACTTGGCCACCAACACAAGCCGCTCCTGCTCAACCGCAACAATGGAACCCTGCCTATGGCCAACAGGTAAAACACCCATAAATTGAAACCAAACCCCATATCATTCCTTGCATATATGTTTTTACTCTTATAGTAGTACTTACCAATATACTTTGTAGGCTGCTTATGGTGCATATGGGGGATATCCCGCTGGCTATACCGCTCCACAAGCACCAGCACCTGTGCCACAGGCCGCTGCTTATGGCGCATATCCTGCTCAGGTAACCCGAAATCTCTTAATTAGTGTTAAATATACATTATAAAATATGGAGTGTTAAGGATCCATGGATTAGCCACTAGTTGGTTAAACTGGTGGGAATTATTACTCTCGGTGGTTAAGTCTTTTTATCAACTAACTGATATTTTTCTTTGTGAAATCTTTCAGACATACCCAGCACAGAGTTATGCGCCTCCTGTTGCAGCTGCAGCACCAGTGGCTGCGCCAGTGCAACAACCGGCTGCTGCTCCTCAAGCTTACTACAACACTTACTACTGAGCCTGCGTTACTGTTGCTGGTTTTTTTTGTTTTGTAGCGAGATTGATAACAACCATTTGCTCCTACCTACTCAAGTTTAGTGTCCGACTCATCATGTCTGAATGTTACATGTCTCTCTGTTCTCTATCAGTGACAATAGATTTACTTTTTCTTCAGTTGCTTTGCATCTTGATCCGAAAAGGTTCTTGGATTTTAAATTGATGAGCCGGTTAATGCTTGGTTTAAATGATCCAAGTTAATCTCGCAAAAGAAAATGGAAAATTGAAGAAAATCAGAGCCGATTCTAATTTATTTGTTATATTTCCACAATGGACCTATATTTTTGATATATGCCTCCAATCGTTCAAAAGGGAAAAAAATGTAAACTTTAGTGCAGATACACACTTTTAAAACTTGTGGGGTAAATCTGCGAGAAATTCGTAAACACTATTTTGTGCGAGTGCCAAGTTTTTCGTCATCATCATTTTCTTGTGGCATTTCTTCAACCCCAAGGTAGTCTGTGATGCGTAGAATTGCCTGAAAACAG